TCGGGCCCCGCCCCGTGCGCGCTGCCCAGGTGCGCGCGCAGCTCGCGGTGCGCGGCGTAGACGCGGGGGCAGCGCGGGCACAGGTAGACGCGCTGTGGGCTGTGCACCGCCAGGTGGCGCTGCAGCTTGAAGGGCTTGGGGAAGCGCTTCCCGCAGTGGTGGCAGTCGCGGGACGGGTCTTTGCAGTCCGCGTGCACCGGGCCGACGCGGAGCTGGGGCTCGCTGTGTTGCCGGGGCTCCGGACACGGGCTCGGGGAGGCGCGGCCGTCGCCGCCGGGCACGCTGGGCGGCGTCGAGGCGCCGTGAGGGCTCTCAGAGGGGGCAGGTTCGGCCCTGTCCCTCGGGGCCACCTCTCCACCCCTCCCGTCCGCCCCTCCTGCCCCCCGTTGGGGTGTAGCTCGTTCTGCCGAGGCTCCCTCGTCCCCTGAGCCCGCGGACAGCTCGCCCCGGGCCCGCCGAGCCTGCCCCTTGCGTGCGAAGAGGGCAGCGTGCTCGCGCAGGTGCTGGTTGTACATCCAGATGTCCGCCACCTCCTTTAGACACATGCCACAGGCCCACGGCCCCGCCTGGCCCTGCACGTGCTTCTCCTGCAGGTGCTCGCGCAGCAGCTGGCGAGAGCCGAACCTGCGCTCCACGCACATATAGCAGGTGGGGGGCGGTGCCGCGCTGTGAGCCAGGCGGTGCAGGTCGAGCTCGCCCAGCCCATGGAAGCGCCGGAAGCACACGCGGCACTTGAAGGAGCCCTTCCTGCCCAGGGCCGGCCCCTCTCTGTCCTGGAGGTCCAAGGTGCTGGTGGTGCTGGGACCACGGGCAGGGTCCTCCCAGGGTCCCGGGAAGCACAGGTCCTCTGCCTCCAGGGTGGTCCTGACCATCTCCAAGTCTTCCACGTTTCTGGACAGCCCCTCCTCGTAGCCCTCTCTCTCCAGGTTGGGGGGCTCTGGGCTCACATCTCCGGGTGGCTCTGGTGGGGGTACCTGTAGCCCCAGGCCTTGCCAGGCTCCAGGGATCCTGTGTAGCTCAGGGATGGTCTCTGCCTGATCGTTGCTAGTGCTGCAGGGGGGTGTCTTGTCTACACAGCTGGCCTCCCTGCCGGGCTCCAGGGCCCAGAGGCTGAGGCCTGGGGTGCTGCTGCTCAGTGCCCCTTCTAGCAGCCAAGGCTCAGGCAGCTCCATGGGCTCGTTACCCCACAGGTCCTCACAGGACAGGCAGAGGGAGCCTGAGTCGCTGAGATCCGTGGGCAGCTGGGCGGAGGGCGGAGGGTCCCCCCTGGCCTGGCTGAGTGCCTCGGTGGGCGGCCAGCACCGCAGCCTCCTGCAGCGCTTCCCGTAGACCCGGGGGTTCTTCTTCCTGGCGAAGCGGCCACCAGGCGGGAAGAGCTGGGCAAAGGACACGTCCTCATCAAGCACACTCGGAGAGTCCCCACCCTGGGCTGCTGGGGCATCCAGGAGACCCTGTGGGCCACTGAGAACGGTGCCGCCAGTGTCAGAACTGGACGCTGCAGGAAGGACAAGCGTCCCTGCCCTAAGGCTGTGGCCTGGCTGGCCCCTGGCCCCTGCGCAGTCCTCTGCAACTTCTCCTGCAGATGCGTGCAATGGGTCCTCATGCGATGTCTTGGCCACTGTGGGTTCCCAGAGCCCCCTTGCTGGGGCTCCCTTCCGCCCCTTGGGAAGTTCCCCAGGGGACACCCCGTCTGCCCTTCCTGCGGGGCTCCTCTTATCACCTGGGGACTTCTGGGGTGTGGTGTCCGCTGCACAAGGCTCCCCCAGGCCAGGGTCATCTGCGGCGTCCTCTGGGATCCCAGGCCGTCCGTCTCCCCTCTGCTGTCCCTCTGGTGCGCAGCTGGCAGTGGCCATGGACGGCTTGGAGTGGCGCCGGTCTGCCGTCCTTTGCTCTGCCCGGGCCCTCCCGGCTCGGCCCTTTCCCACATTCTCCTGCAGTTTTGGGGCTGCGGTGCTAGGGGAGTCTCTGGGCCCCCGGCTTCGCCTCTGCCCTTCTCTTCTCTCTGTCTGTCTGGGGTGCAGCTTGTTTGCCTCTGGCTGGGCGTGTCTGGGCTTCGGTGCTTCCCCGGGCTCCGTCAGGCTCACAGTATGCAGTTGCTGGTTAAGGGGATGGTCTGGTACCCTGGGGCCCCTTTTAGCCCTCTGCTCTGTCTCAGGACCCGTGGAGCCCTCAGGTGCTGTGGAGCCCTGTGGGTGAGATGGTCCAGCAGGGTGGCTGGGGAGCATCAAAGTGTGACTTGGTCTGTCCTTGCCAGGTGTCCTGCGGCTCTTCTTCCCAGGTGCCCTGCACCGCGGAGTGGTGCCTCCCTGCTGTCGGTGCTTCCTGGCCTTGTGCCGGCTCAGGCCAGGCCCTGAGCGGAAAGAGGCTGAGCAGATCTCGCAGGTAACACAGGGGACAGGTGGTATCCCTTTCTCTGCGGGCTCTGGCTTCTTTTTAAAGCCGTAGGGTTTCTGTTTGGGGTCCGGGGAACTGAGGGGGTCCATCTGGGGCATCTGGTGAGGGACCCCCATGTGGCTTTGGGGGGATTTGGACCCAGAGTCACTGGCTCCATTGCTGGGTGAGGCAGCTGGGGGAGAGCAGGTTGCAGTCAGGCCTTGGGGGCCGGCTGTGGGCACCTGTGTCACACCAGTCCCTACATCCTCCTGTCCCTCACTGATGACCTCCGCCTCCCTCTCCAGGCAGGGGAAGGGGCATGGCTGTGTGCAGCCCACTGAGGTGGGGTCTGTGTGTGTGGCCACGATGCTGTGGCCATCCCTGTGGCCAAGGTGAGGGGTGAGGCATGGAGGATGTGAGGTGGCATCCAGCACCCGTGGCTCCCCGACTGCCTTTACACCAGGGTTGGTGGGGACAATCTCTGCATCACGTTCCTTGGTGACTGCGGGTGCTCCTGGTCGAGGTGAGGTGGCACAGGTCAGAGAGCACCCAGGCTCTCTTCTGAAATCCTCTAGGGTTCTTGACTTGCTGCTGCCAGGACCATCCTGGCTCTGGGTGGTGGTTGGGGTTAGGATGTTGCTGAGGCCTGGCCAGTCTTTGGGGCTGCTGGCCCCCAGGAGAGTGGGAGGCGGGACATTCTCAAGGCCACAGAGGCTTGTCATCAAAGATGGGGGACTTGCATCCCCGGCCCCCACAGGGGCCTGGGGCCAGCTGGTCCCTCCCAGAGACATAGAGGGAAGGGCTTCCTGGGGTGTGTGCTCGAGGCTGCAGGGGGCAGGGGTGGCTGTGGTTGGGCCCCCAGTGGGGGGTGCGGGACAGGCCACCTCCCTGAGGGGCCTATCCTCAGGCCCCCGTTGGGTGCAGGCTGCTGTTTCCAAGGGGTGCTGAGGGCCAGGGGCTGGTTGCGCCCGCTCCCGAAGGCCTGAGGCTGTGCTGCCTCCCTGGAGCCCAGCTGTGGCCCCAGCCAGCCTGGGTGTTCCGGGAAGGGCGGTGGCCTTGGCACTGTTACTTGGTGCCCCTGTGCTCCACCAGGCATCAGGCAGGCCATGGTGGGCTTTGCCTTGGGCCTTAGGCTTCTTGGCCTGGCCAGGGGAGCCCAGCTGTGTGTCTGCCTCCGTTGCTGTGGAGGCGGCCATGTCCTGCATACCCCCAAGAGAGCCACCTGTCACTCTGTCTCCTCCTGCACCTGGGGGGGCTCTGTGCCAAGGGCTTTGGGCATTGGCAGGTGGAGGCTTCTTTGAGATCTGGATGCCATCCTCGCCCTCAGCTCTGGCCCCCAGGACCTGGAGTGGACATGAGGGGCTGGAAGCTAGGCCAGCCTGGGGTCCACGGTGGGATGGGCCTTCTCGGCCCTGGAGGGCAGATCCCTCTGCCAGGATGCCAGGCGGCCCACGTGTCCTGGGAGCTGGCCCCTGGGAAGCATGGCTGTGGCTGGCATCTGAGGCTGAGATGACATCCAAAGAGACAGCCCCACTGGCCCACAACCCCTGGTCAGGTGTGGGAGTGGCCGGGCGCTGCCCTCTGCTCTGTTCCCAGGCAAGCGGCGGTGGGGAGCCCCCGAGCTCCTGGGTCCTGGGTGACTTGCCTTTTCTGGGAGATAAAAGGTCATGGCCTGGACTGTGCTCTGCTGAACCCCCAGCCTCTAGGGGGACCTCCGGGTGCTCACGGGGGTCAGGCAGACCCGTGCCCGGGAGGGCCCTGCTGTTTCCTTCGGCCTCGTGGCCTCCACTTTCTTGTGCTGACAGGCTGTACCCCATGGGCCCCAAAGGAGCCCCCGAAGCCTGGTCTTTGTGGTGACCAGGGGGTGGGGCTGCTGGGGGCTGCTCCCCCTGGGGGCTCCCGAGTGCCCCTTTCCTGGGGGACATGACTGTTTGCACACCTTCCCCGTGTGGCCTGCACTCCCCAGGACCTGTGTGGTGGGCCACGTCACTGTGGGGTGGGGTGGCTTGGCAGGCCCGCATTGGCGTGGCTGCATGTGCGGCTTCACTGAGGCCCCTGGGGGCTCCCTGTGGGCCCTCCCGCCTTTGCAGCTGGCTTTCCAATTCAGAGACCAGTCTTTTGATTTCTAATTCATCCTCGGACAGGTTGCTCATAAAGGCTGCGTTGTATTCGGTTCTCTTCCCAGGAACAGGTGCGGGGCTTGAGGGAGCCGTCTCTTCACTGGGACATTTCTTCTGGAATGGCTTTGGCCCTGAGAGGTCAGGAAACTGGCTGGGCAGCATCGGGGACACCTCCTCCAGCAGCAGGAATGGGGGGAACAGTGGCTGTATCAGAGGTTTCCTCGGGAGAGGGTCGGCACAGGCCAGCGGCATGGGGCTGGCCTGGTGTGGCGAGAGGCTGTCGTAGAGTGGTGGGTCGAAGCCGTCCTCAGGTAGCCCGACGAAGAGGCTCGTGGACTCCAGAGTCAGCGGTGACTGGGCTGGGCCTGGGTCAGCCTCAGCTGCGTAGGGCATATTCTTTGGTGGTTTGGGCTCAAGGGGGTCCACATGGTCCTGGCCAAGGTAGGAGCTGCCGACTGGCGGAGTGTCCACAGCTGGGTCCTTGGGCTCGAGGAACAGTTCAGTAGGGGCCGTGCTGTGGGGCTGGGCCCCTTTGTGGGTGGCTGGAATCCCCACAGAGTGTCCGTTAAAGTGGGCAGGACTGCAACCAAGATCGGAACTCCTAGAGATCGGACTGCCCTTTTTGGAATAGGCCGCCCTGGTGGGATTAGCAGCCAGCGTCTGGGCGTCTCTAGGCTGGCAAGCAGGGGCGTCTTCTCCATCAGGGGGCTTGGGGGACTCTGTGTGGCTGGGGGTACCCAGCAGACTACTCCCTGCTGGTCTTGGCACAGTCCTGCTGGGTGACACTTTGGGGTGGCTCTCTGAGGGCTGGGGTCTCCTGGTATCTCCTCTGCTCGGCCGTGGACTCTCTGCAGTGGGAGGCCTGGGGCGTCCTCTCTCCCAGGGGGCCACCTCTCTGAGTTTTGCGGTGTCAGGCGGCAACTCTTCAGCAGCTTCAGGCTTTTGGGCTGCCTGGCGGAGGCCCAGAGGTGGATGGCTTTCCTCTGGGGTTGTGATGTCCTTGGGGGCTCCTGTGGGGCGACCAGTCCACGTGGGGTCTCTGTCCTGGCTGTGCGATGGGCTGTGCAGCTGCGCTGGGGCTGGGGAGCCCCTGTCTTCACCAGGTCCCAGCCTCCCTGTCTTGCTGGGGCCGTGGCCCAGAACCCCTTCCTTCGTCTTCCTGCCCAGGCGCTGCTGCCGGCGGCCATGGCGGGCATGGCCTCTGTGGCCAGGACCGCTGGGCTCAGGACTGTCCTCCTCGGATTCGGAGGTGCAGTTGAAGTCCCCCAGTCGTCCTTGCTGGGCCTGTGAGGGCACCTGCAGTCGGTACAGTTTGTTCTTCTGCAGCACGATCTTGTGGATGAGCTCCTTGTTCCAGCTGCTGCCCCGCCGCGCCCTCCGCTTCTTGGGGTCCTTCCTAGGGGGCAGTCTCAGGCCCTTGGCATTCCTGGTCTCTGCAGGGAGGAGGAGGGCCCTGGGGACACGCTTATCGGGGTCCATGTGGCCCTTGGCCTGGGTTCTGAGGTCCCGGGGGTGGGGTGGGGTCTGCTGGGCACTGCGGCCCCTCCTCCTAGGCCTCGGGCAGGGTGCTCTGCCAGGTCCCTTGGCGCTGTGGGCTGCATCCACCTCTTTCCAGAACAACTTGAGCTGCTTCCCTCTCCGAGGCTGCCTCCCTGGGCTGGGCGCAGTGGCCTCCGTGGGTGCTGGGCCCAGGCAGGGGGTGTTGGGCTCACTCTGGGCTTGGCAGGCTCTGTCCTCAGGGCAGGGGGCTCTGGCCTTCTGCAGGGCCCCTCCAGCTGGGGGTAGGGGCTGGGCATGGTGCTCCAGGGTGGCACTTGCCCGGGTGCTGGGGGGCTTCCCAGTACCAGGGCCCCTGAGGCCTGGAGGGTCCTCGTCAGCGAAGACATCGATGAAGCTGCTGTCAATCTCGGGGCTGTCTGATGGGTCCTGCATGCCATTGAGGGCCTCGGTGATGAGGCTGTCTAGCTTGGCATCATCGAGCTTGGCATTGTCCTCCAAGTCCAGGTCTGAGGCAGGCAGTGGGAAGGGCGGGGCGGCCAGGCTGGGCAGGAAGCTTGTCCGCAGGGCATCGTCTTTGCCCTCTGTTTGCTCATCCCCAGCCAGCAGGAAGGGGATGGTCTGGCTGTGGCCCAGAAGGCCTGGGTGTGTGGGGGCTGGCGCCTTGGGGGCAGTGGTGCGCCCCTGGGGCCCGTGCCGGGCCAGCAGCAGGCTGCAGAACTGCCGGTGCTCAAGGAAGGAGGCCAGGCTGCTATAGTTGCGGTCGCACTGCCTGCAGGTCAGCAGCACGTCCAGCTGGTCCAGGCTGGCGCTGCTCAGTGGGAAGTGGTGTGTGGCATAGGTGGCTGGGCCCTGGGGGAAGCCCTGCAGCCCCTCCCTGCCTGCCCCATGGCCCTCGACATCCCGGAACTCAAGGGCACCCTCGGGCCGCAGCCCATCCGAGGTGAGTGGGAAGTGGGGCGGGCCAGTGCTGCGGGGCTCTGGGGACTGGAAGGGGCTTCCAGTCTCCTGAGGCTGGGGGGCTGGGAGGAAGAATCCCGAGGGCCCCAGGGGTGCAGGGAGCTGGCTGTCCTCAGAGCTGGGGTTGGCTGGGCTGCTGGACAGTGGGGACAGGGAGGAGCAGGTGCTGCTGCCAGCTGTGTTGGTGGCGGGAGAGGGCAGGGGGGATTCGCTGGGAGAGACCCCTACCACCCTGGGTGGGGGCAGGCCCGAGGCCCCTCGGGGTGACACCTGGGGCTGGGTACTCCCGAAGAATAGGGCCTGGGCTCCAGGGTCCTTTAGTCCACTGTAGGGGAGCAGCCCCGGGGAGCTACCTGGCTGGCCTGGGCTGGTTCTCAGGGCTACCAGTGTCTCCCCACGCCCAGGCATCTGGTTGGCAGCACCCAGAGCTCCCTGCTTGCCCTCCTGCCACTCGGGGGGCCCCCTGGGGAATGGCAGCTGGCTCAGCACTTCCCTCTGATGGGGGCTCGGCCCAGGGCTGGGGAGCATGGGGGACCAGGGCACTGTGGGGCTCTGGGGGAGGCAGAGCTGCTGGCCAGGGCTATCAAAGAAGGTAGCACCGGTGGTGGATGGGGCGTGCACGGGGCGCTCGGGATAGGGGGCTGCCGTGGGGTCCCATAGCTGGGGCAGCCTGGCTGGCAGGGCTCTGGGGGTAGCCGGCTCGGCATCCCCAGGCCCCGGGCTGCTGCCCATCTTGTTAGCTCTGTACCCCTGTCCTGGAAAGTGCCCTTGGGGACCAGGGATTAGGGGTGCCCTGGGGCTCCCCAGCCCTTCATGGCTTGAAGGGTGTCTTTCAGGGAGGACTTCAGTCAGGTTCTTGTGCAAACTGTCGGGGAAGGGCCTTGGAGCCAGGGGAGCAGCGCCGGGTGGGGAGAGGGCATCGGCACTGTCGCCAGTGGCCTCGAGGCTGCCCGGATGGCGGGGGCAGCAGGTCAGGGGCGAGGGTGTGGGGGGCAGTGGGTAGGCAGGGCTGGTGCCCATGGCCACCTCTGGCCACCTCCCCAGGGGCTGGTGGAAGGAAAAGGTCAGTGCTCCATTGGCATAGCCCTGCCCAGCTGTGTCCTCATGGGAGGCCTGTGTCTGGAGTGGGTATGGGAAGGGGCTCCCCCTGGGGCTGCCAGGCCTGCTGCCCTCATGAAAGGGCTCTGACTCGGTGGGGGAGACCCCGAAATTAGCACCTGGGAAGTTGTCCTCAGCAGCAAGAGGCCAGGAGCTGGCCCCGCTGGCCTGGAGTTCCGGGATGGAGGCCAGTGCTGGGGGGCTGGCACCATTGCTCGGCGGGGCCCGAGGGGGTCCCTGGCTGGCACTCGGTGAGGTATAGTTGCTGGAGGTAAAGCTGGAGGGGGCCTCCTGGAAGCACCTTTGTGAGTGAAGCTCTTTGGGGGTGGGCAGGGCCTCAGCCCCAGAGAGGTTGGGCCTGCTGCAAGCTTCTGCTTGGGAGTCCTGGGGGGCCTCACGTGGCCAGCCCTCGGGGGGCTCATCCAGGGCAGGCTTGGCCCTCGGGCTGGCAATGCCCAGGCCATAGAGCTGCGGGGGGCTGCTGTCTGCCTTGTTTGCCAGCCATACCTGTGCCCCTGGGTGGCTCCTTGCAGGTGGGGTCGGGGGGCCACCTCCCTTCCCTGGGGGACCACGAAGGGGGCGGGGCCGAAGGAGCGTGGCCTGGGGCTCCACCTCTCGAGCCTGCCCTGGCTGGGCCTTGGGCGGGTCCCTGGCCAGGGCTTTGCAGCTTGCCCTTCTTGTGGCCTGGGCCGTCCTGCTGCTGGGGGGCTGGTCCTCGTGGGAGGCTTCGGAGGGGCGCTGCAGGCCCCCTGCACCTTGGTGGGGATGCAGGTCTCTGGTGGTGGCAGGGGGCGGCGCTCCGTGGGGCCGCTCACCCGGCATGGCCCCAGGTCCTGGACGCTAGGAGGCGGCAGTCCGAGGGGGGCTGTGGGGCATGGGCTGGGCGGCCATCATCACCCCTTGGGGGGCCCCAGGGAGGCCTGTGCTCATGGTCCTGGGTGGAGCCTGCAAGGGAAGGGTGGAGTGAGTGGGGGTAGCAGGGCAGAGCCCATCCTGGGAAGGGGCCCTGGGCTCTGATGGTGCTTTTGGGCATAGGAGAGAGTGTGCCCTGGTGGGAGAGGGAAGGGGTAGGAGGGGAGAGGACTGGGGTCTGAGGAGACCACTTTCCAGCCACACCCGGGGAGGATGGGGACTGCTGGCTGCGGCCCTGGGCCGGGAGCCCACCAGTGCATCTCAGCCTTGGGTCACACAGGGTGGCCTCGAGCCCCACACTGTGGCAGCCCCCAGTCTCAAGAAGTGGCCAGCACCCCTGGGGGGGTCTCTGAGTGGGCTCTGGTCAGTGCCAGGTGCCCACCCAGGGGGCTGTCCTGCCACATTGAGCCCTGTCCCCGGTGAGTGAGGTCCTGGTGTGCAGCAGAGGGCTCCACTGCCTAATGCAGCAGCCCAGACACCTGGGTGGGGGTGCTGCCCCTCTCGTCCACCTTGGGCGGAGTGCCGAGTCCTGGGGGCTTTGCTGAATGCGTCCGTGGCACTGTGAGGGCAGCCATAGCAGCCTGGAGCTTCCAAGCACTCTCTGGTGTGGGTTCCCTCGTCCTTGCAGTGGCCTGGGAGGGTGGGACTGTCATTGTCACCAGGATCTATGGGAGGAAGGCACTTCCCCCAGGCCTCCTGGCTGGTGGAAGGGGTGGGTCATCACAGGAGGGGCTCCCTGTACCACCTGTGTCACTCAGGCTCTAGACACCTACTCAGGCCAGGTGGCAGTGAAGCCCTTTTCATGGGTGACATTCGCCTCCCAAGGCCAGGAGCCTTTGGCCAGGAGGATGAGGAGGAGGAGCCTCAGCAACAACATCCAAAGGAGCTGTCAGGGTGCAGGGCGTCAGGCGCTCAGGGACACAGCTGGCAGCCCTGAAGACAGGGAGCCTTGGGGGACGGACGTCTCTGCCCCAGGGCAGCTGTGCTTGGGTCAAATGTTTCTTCCACATACCTGGGGCGCCAGGGCCTCAGCGGGGTCGCTGCGGGACTGCCTAGGAACAGGGCTGTGTGGCTGCAAAGGAAGAGGAGAGTGAGTTAAGACTCAGGGTCTGCCAGCACCGCCACCCCCAGGGCCCAGGAGGCTGCCAGGGCCAGCGAAGGCAGAGCCTGGGAAGGCAGTGGACAGCTGTGGGCTGGCTTTGTGGACTTGGGGCTCGGGGCTTTAGTTATGTGGCTCTATCTCACATGTTCACAGGATTGCAAGACAGGCCATGCTTGCTGTGTCTCCCGCCACTCAGCACCTAGCTCTGGCTGGGCTTGGAGCTAGGGTTTGCCTGGCACCCTGGGAATAGGCCGCCATCCCTGCCTTGAGCCTACCCATACTTGAAGGGCCAGGAGCATTGCGGGTAGCTGGCGCAGGGTGAGGCACTGGCAGCGTGCAGAGGCTGAGAACTTGTGTTGCCCTGAGGTGCACTTCACTGTGACCAGGCTTAGCTGCCCCTGCTGGGGAGCCACAGGGTAGGGCAGAGAGGGCCTTGGACCCTGCAGGCCCCGGCCCCCTGCTTTCTGTTGGGCGATGTGCTTGGGGATGCCTGTGTCGTGCTGAGTGGTCACCCAGGTGGCCCCTGCCCAACTGGAGACTGCAGCTGGGCCACCACTCACAGAGCAGCCCCTCCCCAGAGACCCGTGGCACCGCCACACAGCCTTGCAGAGCTGGGCACCTGAGGCCGAGGCTCCCACGCTGTGCCCGTCATAGTGCGGGGCACTTGTAGCGTGTGACTCACAGCCTCTGGCTCACCACCATCAGCAGTGAGTGGGCTGTAGAGGAGGGCACAGGTCAGGCCCAACGGTGCCTCAGAGACAGGTTGCCCATGGGATGCATCCTGGCTGGTCTGGGCCCCCAGGTGCTGGCTACCTATGGTCTGCTGTACCCTGGGTACCCCATCCAGGAGCACAGTGGCCGCGGGGGGCAGCCTGGGGGCCGCATTAGGCCTGTCTTGGGTTCCGGCCCCACCCGGGCGCTTGGCAAAGCCCCTCAGTGCCTGAGTTAGGGTTGGTGTGGGCTCTAGCAGCCAGCGTCCTTTGAAGGGGGAGATTCCATGGCCCGGATCCAGGGCTGCCCCAGGGAGGAGCAGGAGTGGTTCCTTTTCTCTTAGTAACAGTCACCGGCCCCTCGGGTGGCTGTGAGTGCCGGGTAACTCAAGACCCAGGGGTGGGGGCCGCCAGCGGAGGCTGTGCCTGCAGGCCTGGGCCTCCTCACCGCCCGCCTGGCAGCCCTGTGCTGTGGGGCCTCCCTGGCTCTCCGCTGTCCCCTCCTCTGGGCCTGTGGAAACCGCATATCCCCTCTTCGGCGGGACCCTCAGCCAAGGCCTGCACACTGGGCCATCACATGGTCTTGGGCCGGCCTTGTGGACAGGGGAGCCACACACCTGGCATTTCACACAGGCCAGCATCCAGCAGGTGCCCGAGATCCCCTTGGAAGATGGCCGCCTTGGGGTGTGCATGGCCCGGAGTCCCCGCCATCCCTGCCTGTCTGTGTGACTGGGCAGAGCAGGGCTCTGGAGCAGCTGGGCAAGGCGCACTGTAGGTGTAACCCCGGGGCCTCCCCTGGGGCTCAGCTCCACACTCATGGTCAGGTGGGGAAGCTGAGGCAGAGAGGTGTTCTGAGCCAGGCTGTGCGTCCCAGAAGAGCTGGGCTTGGGTGTGGCCAGGCTAGCTGCCTGGCGGACCCTACCACGCCCTCTGGCTGGCGGGTGTGGGGGGGTGAGCAGGGATCCAGGGGAATGATGGCCTGGCCTTGCTGGGGTCTCAGGCGCATGCTGGGGCTGCTGGCTGCTGAGACAGAGGCTGGTGAGGAGCATGTGTTCTTGGGACGAGGCTGACCCAGGGACGGAGTTCGATGGTCAGAGGGCCAGGGACGTCATGGGCCCCAGGCCACCCCCTCGGCCAAGACAGGGCAACTGAGGCTCAGAGCCACGTGTGGCCTGTCTGGGGTCGCACTGAGAGTCGTGGCTGTGCTCGGTGTCTGGGTGTCTGGGGTGCTGGCCCTTCCCACTCTGTCAGTCCCCTGCCTCAGTCCTCGTTGGCCGCCTGGCCTCCAGACCAGACCCCTGAGCCTGCCCTGACGACCTCCACGCTGGGCGATCCCGGTGAAGTGAGGCAGAAGCAGGCAGTGCCTCTCTGCATCTGTGATGAGCTGGGCTGCAGCCCTGGCAGGCCTGGCCCAGCACTGGTCCTGGTCCCTTAGCAGCCAGCGGCAGGAGACAAAACCACACTTGGTAAGCTCCCGACATCCATGCCACAAACGTCCACCTTTCCTCCCGCTTCAAACGCTGCCGCTTTCTTAAAAACCCTGATACCCAAGCAAGGGAGGCCTCCGATAAACCTCTGCAGGTAAAGTTACATCCGAGATACGGCCTGAGGGCGCGTTTAAGAGCAAAGCTCGTGTTATCGGCTGCATTTATCTTAATTACTTGGGCAGAGTCAAGGCCAGCATTGGGGGGCAGGAGCAGGTATTGGTCCCGCCTTATCGCGGTTCGTATTTGAGATCCCTTAACAGGAGGGAGATAAGTGGGGAGGGTGGCATTGTATAGGTGACAAGGAGGGGGTACAAGGAGGGTGAGGCTTCCAGCCTCAGCCCAGATGGCCATGGGCTGGCAAGGGTGGCAGGGCAGGTTCTGGCTGCGCTATCCCTGGCCCCTTTGTGCCACAGAGGCTGGTATTCGGGGTGGGACAGTGCTGCTGATGGACGACCTTTGCCCGTTACACCCGGGCCTCAGATCCTGGGAAGCACTAGGACTGCCAGTCCCACAGCTCACGAGACCTAGCAGCACCACCTCCAGGAAACCTTCCCTGACCAGTGCTTGTGCCAGTGCGCCCTGAGGTCACTCTGTCCCTCCATTCAGGCTTTGCCCCACCCTGCCAGTGCCCTGTCTGGGTGCCTTGAGCACCCAAGGGTGCAGACACAGCTCCCAGCATGACGTGTCCAGAGCATCGATGGGGGAAGCCTGGCTTGCCTCTCCTGTTGATACCTGGCTGGGGGCACCTGAGAAGGTCCCACATCCAGTGCCAGGCTGTCCCAACACTGGCAGGTGGCTACTTGGGCCATGCTATGGGTGTTAGTGGAGCGGGGGAGGGGCTGCGTGACCAAACCTGGCTCTTGGACCTGCACTGGAAATGTCTTCAGCTGTTGCATGGGTGGCCTTGGCCTGCAGAGCTACACTCAACCTGTGCCCAACACTTGCTCTTATCTTCTGCGAGGCCCCCACAGGCACGGGGCCCCCAAGGAGCCCCCTCAGTGGTCAGTGTCAAAGCCTGGTGCCCCTCCCTGGCACTGAGCATCACAAGCGCAGCCCTGGCTGGCCCGGGTGCCCTGCCCTCCGTCCCCAGCTTCCTGCCCCTCCCAGCCAGGCTGTAGGTGGCCCCGCTCCCTATTCCATGGGGGCAGCCAGGGCTCGAAGGGGCACAGAGGGACAAAGCCACACCACCTCCATAGGACATGGTCACATCCTTGCCCGAGGTCCCGGCCAAAGGACATGGCTGGTGGTCACAGTGTCCCCTCCTGCCCCCGAGGGCAGGGTTGGGTCTGTGTGTTCTGCAAATGTCACCTGCCCAGGCCACTGAGTCTCCCCAGTGCTGCCCCTGTGGCCACGTGCTCCTCCCTGCTCCTTCCTCTGCACATGCGCTGCCCCTGCCTGCCCACTGGTGGGTCCTGGCACTGCTGAGCACTGCCCTCTCGTGGGGGTCCCAGGCCTGCTGTGTCTGCTGGTGGGCAGCCCTCTGGCCCTGGGCGATGGTGGCCTCTGGGAGCTTGAGCACAGCACCAGCCTTTCTGATTTTTCAGGAAAAGCCAGAAATCGGCGTTTAAAGTGAAATCTCCCCATTTTAAAACCTTGGCAGTGCATTCATGTGAAACAAAACGACTGAGTGAGCTGAAGCCATTGGCAGGACTGGCTGCCCTGCCTGGGGTGGTACATATTCCAGACTGTCCCTGCCCAGGCCCCTGCTGCCCCTCACTCGCTCGCTCACGCATTCACTCATCCTGAGCACCGACTGGGGCCAGCATCGCTGTGAAATGGACAGGTCACCCCAGGATAAGCATCCCCACAGGCCAGTACAGCTGTCCCGAGGTCGCCAGGCCCCACTGCTGTGTACAGGGCTCAGAGTCCTGGGAAAGCCCAGGGTTCCTGGAACCCCTGGGGGTGCACCCTTCTGTGACTAGGGCCGTGGCCTCCCCATGTGGCGGAGCCCAGAGAGATTCACAATAAGCCGGGTCCCGTCGGCTATGCACAGGGTCTAGGGGCAGAGTGGCCCATGTGGCCGAGTAGGACGGGGACAGGAGACAGAATTGTGCCTACTGGGGCAGCAGGCTGGTGTGAAGCCCGAGGTGCTGGGCGCAGGAGGGGAGCTGGGCTCTGGGCAGCCAATCGGCTTGTCCAGCTGCCTGGCAGGAGGCTGGGGCTGGACTTCACCTGCATGTTGCAGATGAGATGGCTCAGAGATGCCCCTGACCCAGAGACTTGGCTTATGGCTCCTGGGGTACCTACTGCCCTGGGGCTCCCTGTACCCCATTCTGCTCCAGGCAACCGTGGGCTTTAATGCAAACAAATACCCGTCACCAAAAAATGCTTCACTGCTTCCTGGGCATCGGGTTCAGGTGCCACCTGGCCATGAGCCCCTGCACCCAGGGCATCTAGAAATCCTAAGCTTTGCAGGCCGTGAGGTCTTGGCTCGGCCCAGCCCTGACTCTCACGCCCACCGCAGCCTTGGCCTCTGCCTCCACACTTAGGCCCTCTGACCACATCTGCTCACCTCGCTGCCCCTGCGGCCCAGTGCCAGCTGGAGCAGCCAGCGGGCCGCTGTACTCAGAGTGCCCACCCCTGGCTCCCTGCCCCTCCACAGGCGCCATGGCGCCCTGCTGCGAGGTGAGGAAACCGAGTCCCGGAGAGGCTGGCACTGCCCCTTTCGGCCTCCTCCCTTCCCTGGGGTGTAGGGCGTGCCCCCCCCAGCGCCTTGGTGGCCTGGGGCTCGGGGAAGAGGTGGGGGCAGCTGGCTGCAGGGTCTGTGGGGAGG